TACCAGATCCACTGTCTGATGTCGGGAATCATGACATGTACTATGGCAGACGACTTCGGACTAGGTCGTCCTGACAACAATGAAAAGTTGCAACAACAAGGCCAACCCACTTCTGAAAATGATAGAGTTCCTTTGAAAACTGTCTTTATCAATCATTTCCTCACTATTTCTATCATCTTCTTTGGAAGAAAACATGACAACAAGATTACACTATGAGCAAGGGTCTCAGCTTGCCTATCTCTGACTTAATAGTCTCCGAAGAGTAACTGGGTTTCGATGAATCTCCTGAGATAACATTGTTGATGGACTTTCATTTCGTATGAAAATGCATAAAGATGCTATTCGAAGGTCGATCCCGCCAGAAGAGAAAGGCTGAATCGCGTTTTACTGCAGCCGTTTTAGCTTTTATACAACGTTCAGATTGACGCAGTCAACGATACCTCCGCCCTCTTTTCGGGTGAAAACGGGCTGAACTTTTGTTCATCATCTGATGGACATCATCAGAGCTGGAACTCATTCTTGTAAAAGTCTCAAGTTAACACTGGGGCAAGAAGACTAACAGGCTCTTTCTACATGATTTATTCCTCATCAAAGAGTTATTATTATCAATTAAGCCGAAAAGATAATTATTCTCTTGGAATAACACTTTCAGCCTCCTTAACTCTTCGGTCAGATGATTTCATCAAAGATTGTAATATTCCAACCTTAATTAGAAAGGAGACAAGGAACAACACCAGAATATGCCGGTTTCCTACAAAAATATCTGCCTAACTTGCCATAACGTCGAAAAAAGGTAATTTCCTATTTTATTCTAATTCCATTGTGAATTTAATATTTGTTTTATGTTTTTCAAGTGAAAATAGTAGATTATCTAAACTCTCCATACCATGCTGCCAGATCACAAAATAACCATCCATTTGTCTAGCAAGTAATTTACGAGTCGAAATTACCTCAAACTTTGTCCTGTAGTTATTCGCCAAAGAACGCTTTACAAGTTCTTGCGTCTGTTCATAAAATTTACAATCACAGTGAAACAAATACTACTCATCGATGAGTTAAGAATCTTATATTGGAGGTTCCGAACGGCTGAGTTAAAGCGCGAATCAGCCAGCATCTTCTGGTGAGATTTATCTACGAATCCCTTCATCATGCACTTTTATATGAAATAAAAGTCTTCACAACAATTTCACTCAGTCTTACCTCCTAAAAGGCTTTATCATCCCAACTGGCCGGAGCTCATCAGCACGCCTAACGCGATTCGAACTCGTGTCGTAAGTATTCTCTCGAAATTAACATTCTATTGAGATGTATTCAGCCTAGTTCGTTTAAGGTGATGAAGAACTGAGAGTAGAATTTTCCCACAATGATATGAGTAGAGCTGAAGTTTCCGTTGAATTTCGCATAGCCTTGCTTCCTCAAAAGTTGTTCTCAAATTTTTAGGAATCAAGGCAATGTGAAATTCAATGGAAACGTCAGCTCTACTCATATCATTGTGGGAAAATTCTTCTTCTTCCCGTCCTTCATCACATTATCTCATATTAACGATTTACTGGTAGTCTCAAAACTCTACTTACATACGAAAAATAGCATTCCATTTCCCATCCCCAACAGAGGTGGTATTCAAAGCAAGCCAAGCCTCACTTGAATCACATTTGATGGTGGGATTGTCGATTTGACAAATATGTGTTTGCTGCTGAAACCTATGAATTACTTATTTCCTGATGAGGTGAACAAGTTTTTATTCAAGCATAACTGATATTTTCAACAACTACTTGCATCGAACAATAGGTCGTGATAGCAGCCACCGTCTCTAGGACGTGGCTGTTGGGGGAAGATATCGTTCTGATAATGTTCCTCTTCTGGCCAGTTTCACTCCCTTCCCTTGTGTCCCCTACAGTTGAATTGTCATCTTGTTAAGTGAGGGCAAAAAACGGACAGGTAAGACAACAATAAGGACAAGGCTGCCAAGCGCGTTATGACTTCGAAATTCGTTTATGTCCCTTCTCTTTCTTGCTGCCTTGGTTACGGGCCCAGAAGTCCAGCTCACTATACTGCTTCCATATTTATAGACTAGCTCGTTTCACCGGCCATTGTCGACCTGTCGACCGTGTCTTGTTGTCGCGCCCGGTTTTTGCTGCTGCAAGATGATTTGATCTGACAACAAGTGAACCCAATAATGGCGTGCTCTTTCGGACTTCCCAGTCGCCAGTTGCCAGGGCCGAGGCTGCCATGGCTCTTTCGAAATGAAGGGTCCCGTCCAGATGTGCATTTTTGCCCATGCCTCGTATGCACCTGTCCTGTCAAGGGCACACGGAGGCCGGCGTTTGTGTGCAACACGGAGCCTTGGCCACGGGGCGCTCAAACACCTCGTCCACGAGATGCTTATCTGCGGGACAATGGAGGAGGAGAAAAGGTCTGCGGACAGGTTTCTTCTGACGCCCACACAAACGGCATGACATACTGTACAAGATGCTATCAAGCAGTGTCTTCGATGTCCTCCAACCTTGATGGGATCTCGCCCTGTTTCCCCTTCAGACTCGCCTCTCATCCAATCACATCTACTCTTCATTCCACCTCAATTACCCAAGCCCCTTAAAACCACTTCCACTGATGATAGCAACACCAGTTGGCCTGTTCATTTCACTTTTGTGAGGAGACTTTCTCAGGAAGTGGAAGCTGACCCCTAAAGCCTGTCGAGCTGATTCGAAATCCCCGTTGCTCGGATTTGCTGCCAACTTGTGGGACTCGGAGCAGGACCCTTTATGAGGTCAACGCTTAATCGGGTTTTGGAGATGCCGTTTGCGAGAGCCCAGAACCGCATCAAGTTTCGCCGATTTGGGCTCAGTTGATACAGCAGGTCTTCGGATCATACTTTGTTTTCCGCGTCAGTCCGGCCCCATCGGCAGGCCTATTGGACTCTTGCGTATTCCATTCATCTCGCCCTTCTCTTGACACTTTGTGACTATAGTTTGTATTTTGATGGGAAAATTTGATTAGAATTAGCCTTCCGATTAACCTTCCAAAAGGATAGATTGTCTGTTGGGGAACTGCAACATCACAACGATGCATAAAAAGAAACTAGCGCTTTCTTCGGTCATGCCTTTTTTCGAGATTTTTTGGATCATCTTCCTGCTGACACATTCAGAAAAGGTTATCCTAACACAGCACCACCTGGAGAGGGCAATGGATCCAAAAATTTAAACTAGCCGAACCTAATTTTAAACATGATCCAAGCTAGAATGAGGAAATCAAATCCCAGCCAGCATCCTGAATAGGAAGAATGAGTGTAGAAATTGAGTGGGAAATATTTGAGGCTATGGGAGATGTATTCTCCAGATTTCGTCTAAAGTTGAATTTCCCCACAATCATATGAATAGACCTGATGCATACGTTGAATTTCACACAGCCTTACTTTCACAAAAGTTGTTCTCATCCAGGCTGGACTGCATAGGTCTTACGAAAAACCCCAGCGGGAGTCGAACCAACACGGTGCAGCATGTAATCTCGACACGTCAACCACTACGCCAGATTGCCACAAGTGCATTTGGGTCACAGGGCAGATGTGAATTTCAATGGAAACGTCAACTCCACTCATATTATTGTGGAAAAATACAAATGCTATTCGTTCATCACCTTAAACGAAATAGATTGAATACATTTCATCGAACTGCTTTACTGATAGCCTCGAAACGAGAAATATTTGAGACTTAAGTGGAGAAAGAGGTGAGAGAAAAAGTGCAAGAGAAGGAGGCTTGGATAGCCTTGAGTCTGATTACGTAATTGCAGATACCTAAACACACTTTGAGAGTACAGAATCAAATGTTGGTTTATTTAGACAAAGAGACAGATGTGACCTTTCATAGATCAACTTCACTTAGGCCGTGAGCATGAAGAGTGAGCAGCAAGTAACCAACCAATTCACAGGACTTTTGTGTCTAAATTGGTTTCGAGACTGCCAGCAGATCGTATGTATGAGAGGCCTGACGTTTCCGTTGAATCTCACATTTTCTTGCTTCCTACAAGCCTACGCGATCTAGGGCGAATATATTTGTTATTTCGTATCCGATACCGTATCGCTCTGGCAAGTTCGGTAACCAAGGCTTGTTCAGAATCCGACATTTCCTATTTTGGAAAAATGTTATTCTGATCGCCAGTAGAGTCACTTCCCGATTCATTTCCTTCCTTCGGACTGAAAGACGAGTCACATTAACTCATTAGGCAATTCCTCGAGAACCAGCTTTTATTCATATTTATTTATTTATATATTGACACTAATAAATGTTATGATTAACTTTCGAAACTAATATTGCTTTCTATACATAAATGATCAGTTAAGCTAGCTTAAAATGATCCAAATTTGTATATAATGAAATGAGTAGAGATCACGATGCCACCGTAGTTTTGACGTCAAAAAAAGCTGATTTTTAAGAAGTGGGTTGACCTCGTTGTCACAACTTGATCTTGTTGTCAGGGGGACTATGTAGAACGCACCTAATCCGAAGTTGTCTGCCATTGTAGTTTTCATGATTCCCAGCATCAGACGGTTGAGTTGGTACATTCTAAAACATTTCGCCGGCATCGTAGTCGGCAGCATCAGTGAGTTTTGCCATTA